GCCAAAAGAACGGCAGCCGACGCGAATGCTGCAGCAGTCAGCATTGTTCTGTAATTTGTCTTCGTTCTTAGAGCGCAGCAGTTAACCAGAAGCCAAATTCAAGAGTGGGTAAGGTTTGCTGGGCGGATCAAGATAGAGAGACCATGAGCTGGTTTCCCGGAAAGTCGTGGGTAATGGAGAATATTGCATCTTGAGATTGCAACTGTAAAATCTTGACGGCACCGAAATCCAGATGGTGGGTTTGCGTAGGCTATTGAAACGTGAACAAATCTTAATTAAGGGAATACTCTATTTTACCTAGTAAAAGAGGGATACCGGAATGGCGCTATAGTGATTGAAACCACCAAGAGATAGATAATAAATGTAATCGTAGCTTACAGTGAGTTGACAGGATCTTGGCACATAAAATGAACGTGTACAGTGTGAACACTAACCACATCTAGCATAGTGAATTGTTATCATCTTCTGACATCCAGCAAGTCACCTTTGACATTGTGGTTCGCTAAACCTAATGCTATTATAAGATCAAATCTCGGATTTTCAGCGGAGATGTACTCTGAACGCGATCATAACAAAAAAAGTACGACCTGCAACAATATCTCGGGACTTAAGTTGTACGCGGGATGGCTATCTTACTTCAGGGTTTTGAAGGACCGATTTCCCTTAATTAAGGTTTCCACAGCCATTTTACAGTTACGTAACTACGGTACACATTCTCAACATATGGTGACGTTCCCACAATGCTATGATTTCGAAGTTTGCGGCTGGTACATAAGTCACATCATCCATCGGGACGATAGCACAGCCACGACTACAGCGACATAGGTCTTTTCCGTTGGGGACGCGCCTTTACACTTATCTACAAGCAGAGCACGTTCATTGTAGTATGCAAACACAAAGGATTCTTGGGTCTACTTCAATTTGTGCGCGTTAAGCCCTTACATACCCCTTTCAAACAGCCAAATTAAGTTGCCTTTTCGATAGCAGACCCAGAGGAAGGTAATTTGTGGCATAAATGGTTGTCGGTTATCAATTTCAAGAAATTTGCACATGAATTATTATGCAACATTTCAGAAGTGCATATTTAATGAAAGCAAACTGTTTTTACTGCACCAGTTTGGAAAGCCATTTTCGATAAACCTTCGCGAAAAAAATACTGCTCAGAGTTATTGATATCGTTCATTATTTTAAAAAGTTGGAAAGGACAGCACTGTAAACCCAATTATTAGCAATTGACAGTAAGCCTCCCGATTCATTTTGTTCATGTCGCCCACCACTTCGCAGGAGTGTCTTTACATGTTTTCCGTGAATAAGTACGAGTTTGGGTATATTATCGCTGTAATGCTAGATTTTTCCGTGGGATCGCGTGAGCGGCAAAAATCGGCGATATCGTAACTCCAAACAGCTCGAGCGGCTAAATTATCACTACCACTGACATCGCATTTAGGGCCGAACGGTCACATTCCATTTGCACGGAAAAGTGCAGTTTTGAGTGCACTGAAGAGGCGGTGCCTGGGTAATTCACGAACGATTGTACAGAATTCATCACAAGCAAATCAAACATGAGTCCAAAAGCATGGGCAGAATCCTTATCGTTGACGCTTGGGTGAGTTGTTGCAGTTTTCTGTGTAATTTACAACCACAATCTTGTCAAGGATAGGGTGTACATGCTCTTAGAGCGTCTCCACCGGTAGTTAAGTAAAACTAAGCGTAAATCCTTCCGGACCAAAACTATAAATCGTGCAGGAGATCTTTGCTCATACACACACGCACGGCCAGAAAGTATGGGGCTCTGCCCAAGTTTGGTCAGAACTGTTTGCTTTCTGGCCGTGTATAAGCAAAGCTCTCCTGCACGATTTATATTTTTTGGTCCGGAAAGGATTTACGTTTAGTTTTACTCAACTACCGCTGGAGAGCTCCTTTTAGCGTTGTGACAACGAAAGTCACAACATCGTCGATGAATGTAACCTTGTTTAAACATCTTCCACAGTAATCCTACAGCATTAAAACTTAAATCCAGTCAGTTAAGTTTTCACTATTTCTTGTGTTCATTACTACACTCAATTGTCATGGGCAAATATCCTTAATTAC